ACCTGGTTTTAATATGCTGCACACCTTCTCCCCAAGATGTGTAAGTATACCAAGTTTGGTAGCGCTAGGTCAATTAGGGGCCGAGTTAGAGAGCGGAAGGGAAATATGATCAAGGTCAAGGTAAAGGTCAAATAAAAGTCTCAGTGACCTGGTTTTGGTACTCTGCACACCTTCTCCCCAAGATGTGTAAGTATACCAAGTCTGGTCACGCTCGGTCAATTAGGGGTCGAGTTATAGAGCGGAAGGGAAATTCTCTGCGGCGGACCGAGCAGCGGTGGCGGCTGGGGAGACATGAAACGATAGTATCAATATACAATAATCCGTTATCTAGTATCTAGTATGTAAACCCCAGGGGTAAAGGTCCGGGGTAATTGTCCGGGGGGTGAATGGCATGGGGGGTAAATGTCCGGGGGTGATTGTCCGGGGCGTATTTGTCCTGACACCTTAAAATCGGACCATCCGCCAAATAAACAACCACAGTTACCACACCAATTGGATTTTCTCAACCAAAATGGGCTCAAATGGAAGATAAAAGATAGCTAGCTAGGAACCTATCTCCATGTAGTATTTGACATTATTATTGATAATGTGTCAAATAATCCCAACAAATTACAAGCTGATGTGACATCTTACATTTTGTGCAAGTTTCGGCCCAAAAATTTCCGTTTTTGAAATATATCAAACTACGTTTCATACTGTAGTTCAGAAATAAATAAATACATTTTTAGGCATAAACTGGACTTGGACATCTTTTATCTTCCATTTGAGCCCATTTTGGTTGAGAAAATCCAATTGGTGTGGTAACTGTGGTTGTTTATTTGACGGATGGTCCGATTTTAAGCAGGGGTCAAATTTCATGACCTATCAGTGTGTAGGAAATACAATTTCCAACATTTTGAGTGGTCATTTGTAACAATTGGTCAATTAGTTAAAAATATATTGAGCTTTTAATTTCCCCTAGCCTACCCCCAGATTTTGGGTCCGAGGTCTGACGCGATCATCCACATTCAAGAGGTCATTACTACCAGTCTACCACTAAGCTGTGGATGCTGGGTTGGGCTCACAGTGTTTTTCATCTATGGATATAAGCCTATCAAGAAAACATAGTGAGAATTTGCCACCCCAGGTGGTACCAATCCATGAAATTTTGGGGTCTGGCTCATGGACTATATATAGTGTATGGTAGTATCCCCGCCCTTTTCAAGATAGTGGACTGGAGGCACGTTGAATAGAATTATCATGGCAATTCATTAAAACTATAATTGTAGTGGTAAAACATGTCTTCTTATTAGCTTTATAGATTGCAGTAGGTATATTAATAAAATTCACCATGGATTATTATTTTAACTATTGTTACATTTTACTATGGAAACAGTCTAGCTTTCTTAGTTTTAAAGTAGGATAATATAAGCCAGATAAAAAGGTCATTCATGCGCTATGATGATTAACCAATTATCCGATTTTAATCGATTATCGATCGGTTGGGTGGAACCGATAATTGATTATAAAATTCAAGCCAGTTCCCATCACTAAGGTTAGAGTTAGGAATTAGCATTAGCTTTGGAGATTAAGATTATGGTTAGGGTTAGAAATTAGAATTAGGGTTAGTGGTGCCCTATTCGATTATTGTTAGTAATTAGTTATATCTGTTATGTATTTTATGCTTTACCCCATGAATGTGCCGCTGGTCATCTTTTCCCCATGTTTCTGACTGTCTGCAGTATGGTTGGTACTGGGGGCCAATGAGTTTTGAGGAGGCGGAGGAGAAACTGCAGGGTCTGTCTGATGGTTCATTCCTAGTGCGTGACTCATCCAACGATCACTACATCCTCAGCCTGAGCTTCCGCACTGAGAGCCGAACCCGACACTGCCGGATAGAGTATCACAAAGGTACCTAGCTAATCGCTGCGTGTCGGCCATGTATGCACCCCTCTGTCTCTGTTGGATTTAATTTACCTCGCCATGCGGCGCCACGACAGCGAGTAAAGGAGTATTTCAGTAGGTTACGCCGGCTCGCACCAACAACCGTTTGTGTTACCTGTCGAATCTTTCGGTTCATGGCAGTTTAGGTGTTATCTGACACGAGGTTTGCCATTCGTGAATGACAGTAGAGTTGTAAATGCAGCGTGATGCCGGACGCGATGACGTGTGGTGACGAGTTGGTAATTAACGAGACCTACGGACTGCGTTTTCGCGCATCGCTCTCGCCTGCGCGCCACGTCACATTCGTTGCCTCACGACATGCGACCTCGTTCGTTCGCAGGTCGCTTCGGATTCGGCGAGATCGAGAACTCGTTTGGTTTCGTCAGCGTCGTCAACCTGATTGAGCACACCGTGCTCGAGTCGAAGAAGGGCAAGTACACGTTCTACCTGCGTCACCCGATGTTCGGCCGGCCGCCGACGCGCGTGCAACTCACAACGCCCGTGTCACGCTTCGCCACCATGCGCTCCCTCCAGCACATGTGCAGGTAGGTAACCTCGCGTGGCAGGAGGCACAGTCCCAGAACGCGTGGCAGGAGGCACAGTCCCAGAACGCGTGGCAGGAGGCACAGTCCCAGAACGCGTGGCAGGAGGTACAGTCTCAGAACGTGTGGCAAGAGGTACAGTCCCAGAACGCGTGGCAGCAGGCACAGTCCCAGAACGCGTGGCAGCAGGCACAGTCCCAGAACGTGTGGCAGGAGGTACAGTTCCAGAACGCGTGGCAGGAGGCACAGTCCCAGAACGTGTGGCAGGAGGTACAGGCCCAGAACGTGTGGCAGGAGGTACAGGCCCAGAATGTGTGGCAGCCGACACAGTGGTGACAACTTTGAATTTGCAGCGCGACGCAGGGCAGGAGAGCCACGGCCCTGCAAACAGCATCACAAGTGACAACCACAACACAGTTGCGACAGAAGAACAGAACGACGGGAACGATGGAAGAAGAGCCGTCGATGACTCAGGGGAACCCACACCAGCAGCGGATGTCAGCGACGTGACAGAATGCACCGCTTCTGGTCATCGCTGTACCAAAGATAAGCGAAGTCGCGACCTTTCGAAGAGCAATAACGGGTTCCATCATGGTGTGACCCGAGCAGCGGAGATTACGAACAGCATTGACGTCGATAATACCCACTGCCAAGGCGAAGTGTCGCAAGTGGTAGATTCGTTGGGGCTCGACAGCGACGTAGCAGACAGTGGCGCCCCCATGCAGCGAGACGTCGCAGGCAAGATTCTGCCTGTGCCAAATCGGACAGTGGAGCGAGAGTGCGAGCCTCCTCCGCCGGTGCCCAGCAGAGTGCGCCGGTGTCTTCAGCAGGAGCGGCCTGAATCACTACCACATCCGCTCACGCGGACGTTGTTTGTCAGTAGCTTGCCGCTGCAGGCACCGCCACCACTGCCGCCAAAACGAACAGTCGGCAGCGGCCAGTCTTCATGCGACAGTGTCGCTCAGGCTTCGCACGGAGCCGGACAGTCGTGCAGCGTTGCTCAGCAATCGAGTGCAGAACAGCACCGCAGCGACGACAGTGTCGCACCGCGGTCGCGCGCCATAGCCGCCGCCAGTGACGCCGGGGCGGTGTGTCGCGAGGAATCGGAGGCGACACCTGGTGGGGGCGGGGCTCGCTCCGATCGAGCGCGGGACGCGCCATCAGAAGCTGCCGTTGACGCCGCGGGCGATCACCGCAAACGCGCGTCTGTGTTCGATGCGATACGCAGCACCGTCACGTCGGTGTTCAGCCACCACGCAGACGCTTCCGCTGCAGGCACCGCCCCTACGCAGCGGAAGCGGGCGCCAGCGAGGCTACCTGCGTCGATAGCGACGACACACGCGCGAGCAGAGCCGAACCCGTATGAGAAGGGCGAGCGGCGAAAACGCACATCCGAGAGTCCGTCGCGACCCGATCCAGACACGGAGGATTCCTTCGCGGACGGCATTCCTCCGCTGATCCCGCCACGGTCCATCCGGAGGGGGGACGCGGCAATGGCAGGTACGACGACAAGCTGGAGTGGTGGTGATGCGCAGGCGCCCCCTCATGCACCGGGGCGGAGGGCGTTGGCGCGGCGTAGCAACTCTGAGCCGCTGGCGACACATCAAGAAGGTGGGTGCATTTGTTAATCTCTGTGAGCAATTGTTGCTACAGTGATCACAAATCATTGCCATGGCGATCAGCTACTTTTCAATTAATCATTATTCTCAGCTTGCCTGGGTGGTTTGTTCTAGTCACGCACGTTGTTTATTCCATACGCGAGCATATACTTCCACGAAAATATAGAGTATGACCTTATAGAGTCAGTGTGTGATTGTATCTTCCCGGATTCTACAGTTTTTGTTGAAATGAAATGTGAATCACTTCTAGCTAAGATTGTGAAGTGTGTTAAAGACATTTTACTCGTGTAAAGTAATATCTTTAGATCATCTTTATCTACATCATATGACTATTATACTATCTATCATAAAGTAGCAAAGACGATGGTATTTACAATCACAATTGGCTGAAGTCAAGATCCTTGTTAAATTGAGAAACCCCTAACGAAACGGATGATTGTAGGTTCTGTGTTGCCATCTGACAATTCTGTGCTACACTTGGCGGCAGTAGCAGAGCCATCGATTGCCAAACCGGAGGAGGTTCGTTTGCGACAGCGCAACTGTAATGGCCCGGCCTCTCCAGAAGGTGACTACCATTATGTGCAATCACTCAGCTGTGAGGCACTTGCTTTAGACTTACAGCTAAATGTTTGATTATTTGCCGTGTAACCTGTTCAACCTCTTAAAAGCAATGCCAACTGGGGGAGTTTTTCGCTGGTAATGTCGAATCGGGCCCAACAAGGGATGGTTTAATAAATGGCTATGTGAGTTACATATAGGTGTATTAATGTGTGTGTTGTCTCTGTGCATGTACACGTGTGTGTGTGCATGTGTTTGTGCGTGTGTGTGTGTGCGTGCGTGTATGTGTCTCTGTGTAAGTGCGTGGGTGTGTGTGTGCGTATGTGTTTGTTTGTGTGTGTGCGTGCGTGCGTGTGTGCGTATGTGTCTCTGTGTATGTGCGTGGGTGTGCATGTGTGTACACGTGTCTCTGTGTGTGTGCGTGCGTGCGTGCGTGCATGTGTGTGCATGCATGGTGCCGCGTATATATTTCTTGAGATATATCAACTGTTTAATTTTAATTTTTTCAGGAACAACATTAGCTGCCTTTGCTGACACTTTATCCCAGTTGAAAGATGTAAGTAGGCAAGCTTATTTGTTTTCACAATAGCAGTATGAAACTATGAACCAAAATCTGCTGCCGATCCATATTAAAATGGTGTTGAAAAACAGTGTTCAATCTCTACCCAGTAGCACTGATCTAGGGAGACAGAAACTGGGTAGAATACGAAATAGGTAATATAGCTTATTAACAATTATAGATTACTGTTAACGTAGGGTTATAGGTAGTGATCCCAATGATCAATTATAATTGAATGTTGATCATTTGCAGCCATGGATGAAATAATCGATTCTGCTGATAAGTAATCAATCATTGCACAAGTTAGCTATTCAGAGTGAGAACAACTCTGCAAACTTTCATAATGCTTGCTTGCTGTTTGACTTCTTTAGCTATTTGAATTTAACTGCAAAAATGCTAAATGTGTGATTTATCCTGGCAGCGCCAATTAGACATTTCTTGCTAATTTTGTTCAATCCGGCATAATAACAGACGTTTTCATACTTGTGTGTATCACTATTAGTCCATGAGCCAGACCAGATATTGGTACCACCTGGGGTGGCAAATTCTCACTATGTTTTCTTGATAGGCCTATATCCATAGATGAAAAAATACGTGAGCCCAACCCAGCATCCACAGCTTAGTGGTAGTAATGACCTCTTGAATGTGGATGATCGCGTCAGACCTCGGACCCAAAATGAAAAACTCAATATATTTTTAACTAATTGTCCATTTGTTACAAATGACCACTCAAAATGTTGGAAATTGTATTTCCTACACACCGATAGGTCATGAAATTTGACCCCTGCTTAAAATCGGACCATCCGTCAAATAAACAACCACAGTTACCACACCAATTGGATTTTCTCAACCAAAATGGGCTCAAATGGAAGATAAAAGATGTCCAAGTCCAGTTTATGCCTAAAAATGTATTTATTTATTTCTGAACTACAGTATGAAACGTAGTTTGATACATTTCAAAAACGGAAATTTTTGGGCCGAAACTTGCACAAAATGTAAGATGTCGCATCTGCTTGTAATTTGTTGGGATTATTTGACACATTATCAATAATAATGTCAAATACTACATGGAGATAGGTTCCTAGCTAGCTATCTTTTATCTTCCATTTGAGCCCATTTTGGTTGAGAAAATCCAATTGGTGTGGTAACTGTGGTTGTTTATTTGGCGGATGGTCCGATTTTAAGGTGTCAGGACAAATACGCCCCGGACAATCACCCCCGGACATTTACCCCCCATGCCATTCACCCCCCGGACAATTACCCCGGACCTTTACCCCTGGGGTTTACATACTAGATACTAGATAACGGATTATTGTATATTGATACTATGGTTTCATGTCTCCCCAGCCGCCGCCGCAGCTCGGTCCGCCGCAGAGAATTTCCCTTCCGCTCTATAACTCGACCCCTAATTGACCTAGCGTGACCAAACTTGGTATACTTACACATCTTGGGGAGAAGGTGTGCAGAGTACCAAAACCAGGTCACTGAGACTTTTATTTGACCTTTACCTTGACCTTGATCATATTTCCCTTCCGCTCTCTAACTCGGCCCCTAATTGACCTAGCGCTACCAAACTTGGTGTACTTACACATCTTGGGGAGAAGGTGAGCAGAGTACCAAAACAAGGTCACTGCGGCTTTTATTAGACCTTGACTTTGACCTTGATCATATTTCCCTTCTGCTCTATAGCTCGGCCCCTAATTGACCTAGCGCGACCAAACTTCGTATACTTACACATCTTGGGGAGAACACGGGGGATACATGTAGTTGGCGACAACTGCCTTTTCTAGTTTTAGATAGTTTTCCAGTACTAATATTTACAAATGCATTTGATTAATAAAATTTTCATATGAATAATTGTTTCACATTAATAATCATATTTAAAAAGTCTAGAGATAACGGAATAGATGCCCTATACCTAATACGTTTCGATCGGGTAGATAGTACTAAAATACTACCATTGTTGGTTACAATGAATAAGACGATAAAGATGAAGAAAAATAAAAGAGAGGAAAAGAAGAAGGCACCCATCTTTGTTCTTTAGTCCGCGAAGCTGTATGCGCGCACTCTTTGACTTTTGGACGTTTAATACCAGATCTTCCACCTATTATCGCCATCCACCTTTATTCGAACAATATTCCCTGGTTTAAGTGGAGGAAGCACGCGCACCCGATGGTGTTTGTCGAAGTTCGCCTCGTATCACATGTCCTTTTCATCCCTATCTCACTGCTTGTAAGTTGGTCCATCCTAGTTTCAACTTCTTCTCCAACGTCAGAAGTTGCGTCCTTATTTCATAGACCATTAGCTCAGCAGGTCCAACCTCAGTAGCTGCGATTGGTATCGCCCTGTTTAGCATTAGTGCACAGAATTAGTAAGCCTTTAATATGTTTTTCGTGCCTAGGTGACGTCACTCTCATTTTCGGCATTTGCTTGCGGGTGAAGCGGGTTCGATGGAACATGTTCGATGCCTATAAACTGAGGTCCGTTCTCTGGCATGTATTTCGATTGAACTCCCCAGCGTGAACAAACGCACCTCCTCGGTCGGCGCGTAAACAAACACAGCTCCTCGGTCGGCGCGTGAACAAACACAGCTCCTCGGTCGGCGCGTGCTCATATTTAGGTTCACTCCAACAGAGAAAATATAAAATAATCAAAACTGTTCAACAATGAATAATAAACAACAAGTGAGTAATTGTTCAAGGGGTAAATGTTCCGGGGGGGGTGGATCTTTCCCACTGAGAGCCGAACCGACACTGCGGATAGAGTATCACAAGGTACCTAGCTAATCGCTGCGTGTCGGCCATGTATGCACCCTACCCTCTGTCTCTGTTGGATTTAATTTACCTCGCCATGCGGCGCCACGGCAGCGAGTAAAGGAGTATTTCAGTAGGTTACGCCGGCTCGCACCAACAACCGTTTTGTTACCTGTCGAATCTTTCGTTCATGGCAGTTTAGGTGTTATCTGACACGAGGTTTGGCATTCGTGAAATACAGTAGAGTTGTAAATGCAGCGTGATGCCGGACCGACGCGATGACGTGGGTGACGAGTTGGTAATTAACGAGACCTACGGACTGCGTTTCCGCGGCATCGCTCTCTCGCCTGCCTCCAGTCACACTCCCGTTCCTCATGACATCGAACCTCGTTCGTTCGCAAGGTCGCTTCGGATTCGGCGAAAAATCGAGAACTTCGTTGGTTTCGTGCAGCGGCGCAACCCTGATTGAGGCAGCACCCGTGCTCGAGTCGAAGAAGGGCAAAGTACACACAGTTCTACCCTGCGTCACCCCGAGTGTTCGGACTATTCCCGGCGCGGCCGACAGCGCGGTGGGCTAACTCCCACAACGGCCCCGTGTCACGCTTTCGCCACCAATGCGCTCCCTCCAGCACATGTGGCAGGTAGGTAACCGTGTACGCCACACACGTGTAAGCATGTTTCGTGTCGTACGTATGCTTATGTTTCGTGTTGCATCGTATGCTTACTGTTCGTCGTTCATGTATGCTCAATGGTTGTCGGTTGC